AGGCTCTCAACAAGTATCTTCCCTTCCTCCTGCAAGAGAACCCCATGGAGGCAAAGTAAAGCAGCCTCTGAGCCACCTGCTGTAGTTGCAGATGTCCCCGCTCGCTGCAGGGGAGTGGAGATGGCCTTTAAAGGTCCCCTCCCACCCAAACTATCCTGTGGTTCTATGACAAGCCAGCGTGGAGTGCTCTCTGTGCCAAGGGGGTTGGAACTAGATGATATTTAAGGTTCTTTCCAGCCCAAACCATTCTATGATTCCATTACTGTGCACGACGCTGAGATGTTCCTGAACCCCTCTACTTCAGTTTCCCTGGGAACAAAGGCTCCAGGATCCCCTGTACGGTGCTTCCCAACCCCCTGCAGGGATGAGCAGATCGCTTCCTTTCCACCTTCAATCGGACTTGGCTGGAGAATGTTAAACTTCCAGATTTCCCCCTCTGAAGGCAGGCTGCCCCCTCGCCCACCCCTGCAGCCCCCTTACCTCTCCTGCCGCGGTGAAGAGCAGGGAGCCTGCTGGGAAGCCCTCTCCTTCTCCACCTCGGACAAGGTGGCCAAAATCAAGCTGGCTTCCAGCACCATGTCTTCAATGCTGAAAGCGATGGGTCTAAACACAAACACCGAGAGGCTAAACAGCACCCAAGCTGCCACAGGCTGTGGGGGGAGGTGCAGCTCACGCAGTTCTACACACGGGTTAAAAAATGCCTCCTCTGAAAAGCTGCAAATCTGATGATTTGCTGCTGAAGCACAGGAGATGGCTTCCTGTTCCAGACTGAAATGCACCAATGAGCACGTGCCTCACAACATTATCCTTAGTCAAATTATGGTTTTAAGTATGTAAATGTCACAATCATATTTTAAACAGAAAATGGCTTGTTTCTTAGACTGCTAAGTAAAATCATTGCTTGCATTAGAGTGAGAGCCTGTGGTGTCCAGGCAGCCCGTGGGTGCCCATGAGTCAGCCTGGCTGGCTTAGGAACACCCGGGCCTGTGTTAAATGCCTTGTGCAGAATCAAC